AAAAATCCAACTATAGTAGAGATTACAGATTAACACAAATTTGTACGTTAAATTCAGTGTACAATTGGACTATGGTTCAAGGAGGAGCTCCTGCTGGATTTAAATTTCAGAAGAAGTTTTTCAAGAAGTGGCAAGAGTATAAACTTGTAACCTACCTCACGCAAAATGGCGCCACAATCCAAAACCAACAGAAGCTTAAAATTTACTGTATAGAATATCTATCCTTTGTATGTTTTATAGCATTAAATACATATATGTTACTTTATGTTCATAATCTACCTAGTAAAATATTTAACTATCGAAGCCTTAGAAGATTCATGTGTACTTTCAGTCGAAATTAGGTTTTACGGAACGTAAACACGAGTCAGGATTATCGACGGTAATTGGAATTTTTATCATGTTTTTATAACAGGCATTTTGGCAAGGACAATGGTGTGTTTAACGTTTACGCATAGTGTTTACTAAATCAAACTCTGAGAACACTCATATAGCTTTGTTCGGTAAATAGACTTTATACCTTCTACGATATTTGAAAATTCACTTTGACTTCTCATAAAAATCGATTTGTAGTGTGAAAGTAGAAGTTTCTATGTGGAATTTCTTTAATGGCATTTGAAAAACATACCTGTACCATGACTTCACATTGACAGTATATAAAAAACAGTTTTTGTAACCGTGAAAAATGTTTGTACGTTTGTATATAAATATCTTAAATTATTCCTTTATTTTTTTCCATCCTCTAAGATAAATATCGCTGATACTACAAAATGTTATTTCTAAAATCCGTAAAGACGAAGTAAATTACATTTCTAGGGTTGCCAGTTTTTCAATTTTAAATAGTTGTGTAGTTGTTGTCGATAGTTTTATCGATTGATTGTGAAAGAATATAAAATTTTGTCAAAAATGACTGCATTTTGAATGTTACGACGTTCTAATGATTACTTATTGCGTTATTGTTTTCTTTATTCTTATTTTGACAGTTGGCCTACTAGTATCGAGATAAATTTTTATTCATATTTTAACAAGAATAGCTGGACTTGGAAATGAAAAACTTTATGTATGTATATGTCTCCTTTTTGTATTTTTCATAAACATAGTTCTAAATACAGTGTCTGTATGTATGAATTTACAAAAATTAACAAGGAATGAATAATGGGTCGAGGGTGATTCAAATGAAACAAGTACGGCTATTTATTCCATAAGCGTGGTCAATATTCATTCGATAGTCGATAGAATATTTATCGACCGCAATCACTAGCTGCTCGCAAGCGGGCAACGCTTTTGTACAATGAACTGTCATTTTACTCCGTCTTCAAAAAAGACGGACTATTGTGACCACTATCAGCACCACCAGCACTATGCACAATTTGTGTTACAAAAATGTTAAGTATTTATAACCGACTTCAAAAAAGAGAACGTTCCCAATTCGATTGTCTTCTTTTGTAGTTACGACATTACTCTGACATTTGTGAACCTATTTCGACAATTCTTTTTTTGTTGGAATGGGGCCATTCAAATTTGCAAAAGATACTCCACCTTCAAAGTTAGTAAATTAGGAGATGAATTCGGTTTATCGGATTTCAACGATTTTCCGTAAACCGATTTCAAGGAAACTTGGCATATAGATGTAATTCCAATGAGAATAAAATGTTATGGTGACCTACAGCTGACCTGATGATGGAAAAGGCAGACAGACCAGCTACCTTGTGCTTGGGCTCATTCGTTTCGACGAGGACTTCCACAAGCGTTTCAGTTCCCATTGAGAAGACGGCGGTACTGGACACAACGAAAGCGCAGAAGCAAACTATTGAGGTCTATTTTTAAGTCATTATTGTACATGTATAAACACATTTGTCACTGTAAACCATGCGTGGTTGATTCACTGATCGTCATTCTCTAACAATACTAGTAATTAAAGCGTCATCATCATTGTTAACTCATTATATTATGCCACTACTGTGCATGATATAATATAGGCATAGAAACTAAATATAGGTATCATTGGTACATACCATACCAACACAATAAAAGAAAAGAAAAACAGCTGACGTATGTTTGTACGGGAAATAGAAAATTGTTCACCTGAGCATTCGAAAAATTTTTTTTTAAATAAACAGAAATATGACTTATTTAGTTGACCATAATGTCATAATTCTACGAAAGGGACCAACAATAATTTAATTATGTTAAGGAAAACTTGCTCAGCCTATTGCTAATAATAATGAAGCACATAAATTCATCATCACGTTTATTGACTCACAAAATGCGTTTTTCCACTTAAAAATGTTTACGAACTTTTGTTTTTTATGTATATATTTTAATAATTTATATAACTGCTACCACCTTGCTTATTTCTGCCGCCAAGCAGTAATATGAGCATTAGCATGCTCACATTACTGCTACTAGCATGAGCGTTTCGCTTTTGAAATATAAAGGTGCTTGTGAAAAACAAGAAACAAGATGCAAGTATTTCCAATAGTAGAATTGAATATGAGTGAACCACCTTTTATCTGGCGATCACAATAGATTGTAATGAATCAATTCTTTTAGATTACAATACGCAGCACAAAACAAACACTTACAACAAATTATAACAATAATTTAAAGCAATCATTCATCTCTCTGCAATAACAACGGTTTTCTATCCGTTAGCGATGTTCTTCAATCTTCAATGTAAGTTTCATTGATGTGGTTTCTAAGCGTGGATTCAATCAAAAATAAACCAGTGAGTTTCAGAGAAATGTAATCCTAAAATATAATAATGGAAGGCAGTTTTGTTTTTAAAATCAGCGCGGTGGCCGAATACGCGGCTGAAGTTGCTGAAGGTTAATTACCGCGGGTCTATCACGATCTGCCGCTAAACAAGTCGCGTGAAAACACGTAATGAAAGGTAACAACTGCCCATTGGCCTTCAAGACAGCCACGGTGTTCACTGTACTAGTTTAGTTCTTTTTCCTTTGAATTTTATTATAATATAGTATTTGAAAGTTTATAACATTTCCTCGACCATGCCTCAAGCTACGGCCGATGAAATGTTGATGAAATGTGTATCGCGCCGAGAAGGCTGGCAACATAAGAGTCTAAAACGAATTATTTAAGAATAAAATATCTTAATAATTTCATTTTAATATAAAGATAATTTGATGAAAAGGATTTGTCAAAATACATCAACAATTTTAAGTGATGTTTTTTTAATACTTCTTAAAACTTAAGAATCTTACAACGCTTTGCAAACGCAAAATGAAATTTTAAAGTATTTTTTAGAATACAACAAAAGCCTTTGAATTTCCGTGTCTATTGAGATTTTTGGGCAAGAAACTTCACGATCAGCAGAGCGAAAAATGGAATGCTGTTTTACGACCGAAATGTAAAGCCTTTGTTTACAAAGACGTTGTATATTTAACAAACGGGTTGCACATTGAATAAATTTAATGATAAGGATTTTGAGTGCCTCATACTGATGTTGGAAATGGTTTTTACACATTAGTTTTCGCATTTTATTTTTCTTATTCGTTTGATTTCTGAAACTGCGGATGAATGTTACAAATGCACAATGTTTTGTAAAATTACGCGTTATAATTTTCTTTATTGTAATAACGATATTTTGATTTGTTTTGAACCACGTATCTATAAACATAATATCACGTAAACATTCAATATTTATAAGTACAAGCGTACTTATACAATTTGCTTCAATTCTGTGTCGTCAGCCCTTTCACATTATATGTGGTATGGAATTGTAATTAAACTACGCAAAAAAGTTTCCCAAACACACACCGAAAATTAGTCACTGAAACTCAAAATTTCAGCTTCAAATCGCCTTTGAATCCTACCACAGATATAAACATTGCAGAAGGCATATTCTTCTGAGAAGATACCCAATTAACCAGTAATTCTGTTCCTCTAAACTTGTTCAAGTGCATTTTACCACTCTCACACACATGGGACTGTTTGTATTGTAATTGCAACATGTCTTAATGCTGATGTGGGAAATTATATCGCAACGGCGTAGGATTACAGCGGTTGTAGCAACCGTGTCAAGGTGTAACATGATGCGCCAGGTAATTGAAGACCCATCTAGATCTAGACTCTCATTAAACGTAGTTTAAATTACATAGATAATAAAAGTAAAAAGTATGCACAGCGGTAATGAACGTTAGGCTTGGCATTGCGGAAGTAAAGGTTTCAAATATGTAAAGTAAGCTTTAGAAAAAACACAGTACCTGTGTTTATGATACGCCCTCTCCTTAAAAATGTGAATGTAAATCAAGAATAGCCGGAATAAAGCAATTTATATAGTTCTTTGACACTATATAACATCTCTGACCATGAATACCCGCAGGACATAAAAATAATTCTTCGTTCACAACGTACCGACCTTGCGGCTTGCTATCGTGGACTACATTCTCTCTGCCAAAAGCAAGATTCGCTATAACCCTACTAATAAAAAGGAGTGGCTCGTGATCAGCATTTCGTTCTTACCGACAGCCTCGTAAGTCTTCTACGCTTCTACGGCCAATGCCACCGGCACCTTGACACCCTTGCTTTGGGGGCTCTGTGCCGAATGATAATGACTATTTTATTAGATTTTTTAATACTCAATTCGAGGACTTTGCAGTTTTTTTACAATTCTAACTTTATTGTGGCATAAATTATTCACTTTATGGTTATTTATGTCAACAGTCTTGACCAGATATACAGGTATTTTAATTAGTAGGTGTTTATATTCAAGAAAAATGCAGGTAGTTATTTCAAGACTTGTATTTTCATGAGTTACTGAATTTGTTTCCAATGTAAAAATAATTTGATCTGAACATATGACGAGTGCTTAGCCAGGCTTAGCTATTGTTTACTGATTGATAAGGTTTCATTTCTCTTGAATGCTGACCACTTTATTGGCTGCGATCGACTTTATTTGTATTAGTGACGCCGGCGATGAAGGGTTCTATACCTGTAAAGGGTAACTATTTTTCTCTTTCTAGTGCATAGAGGATGCTCACCTGCGCCACACGAGTTCCTCCAGAAGTTGTAGAACTTGCCGCAAGCGCACATTTCGAATCGCGTCACTCCGCACTAGTTGCCAATGTATTTTTAAACTTCACTTGTATAGTTTCGCAATCCTTCAGCCAGTACGCGTTCACACTTCAGTTAATACACAGCTGGGAGACGTTGCATCTAGAGAATAGACGTGAATGTAAACAAAAGGTGTGAGTGTAACGGCTCAGTGAGCGGTCGCGACTGTACCGTTGGGGCGTAGAAAGCGGCTTAATGTTCCTCGTGGACCAATCGACATCGACTCGAGCACGCGAACGTCCGGCAGTGCGGACGCCACGCGACGTGCTTTCAATGCGAGCGCCCTCGTGAAACTGCCGCCACTGTCAACCGCTTACCGCACCGCCAAGCATCCGCCAACCGCCTTCGATTTGCATCGGATATAAAATTCTGAGGGAAATGGACGGATTTCGCTACCGTATGATGGGATTATTAACGTTGATGAATTTCATGTCTTGGAGCTAAATCGAAATATAAATTCCATTTCCGCCGCTTCAGCAGGCTGTGGGAGCGATGTCTCTCACTTCCGGCATCGCCCAAGAGCGTATCCTACCGCTATAATTACAATCACAAAATCTTATTGTGTTAGATGAGAATGCACTAATTTACTTAACTCCCATACAGATGAGTTCAACGATCTTCGTCCCGTTTCGAACACGGAAATTTTATTCAAGAATGTTATACTTACAACTGAATTTATCAACTGAGAACAAGAAACCCATACTAAACGCTAGTATACAATACTGTAAGTGTAGGAAAATAAGCTAAGTCATAAAATTAAACTGCATGCATAGAGGCGTAGCTTTTGTCACTGTTTTCGATAATAAAATATCAAGAATATATAAATGAAAAGAAACACGAGATATCTATGAAATAAGTAAACACTGACGCAGCTATTAATTGCTTACTCGTACACGAAGGTCGATCAGCCTCTTATAGCCACCGGGAAGTAGTTTACAAACGAGATATATAACAAGTAAGAATGACGTCACGCCGCCTACAACAATAAACCAACGTATTTGGACAATATGGTTTATTTTAAGAATAAATCAAATGAGAATCATTAAGAGTATTTTCAGACCGGAAATTAAATAATTACCATTTCTGTATATTAAATACGTTCTCTTTAGTATTTTTGGATAACAGTAAAGTTTAAAACTAAAGGTTCAGCTTTTTATGGGCATACCGCTGTGCTCCAGGGACATGATGTAAATAAATATTAGACAACCTGAATACGTTGCTCTGATCCCAAAGAAAGTAACTACAAGACTTTTGTTGTGGAAATCGGAAACAAAGACGGCATCATAAACACCCAGAACCGAAACAATGTAGAAAAATTGCTTTTCTATATTGACCTGCCCGGGGAACCCGGAATCTCAGTGGTGGTGACACCATGAAAACCAAACCGGAGGTTGTCTAAATTCTTCTTTCTAGTTGACGTTTAATATAACTGTGATGATGAATGAATGATGAATAGAAATATATACATATAATTCAAAAATAAAAAAAAAATTCATTGAAATCTTCGTTTTCCAGTTATTTAAAAATTTCCGAACTTAATTTCAAAGTATATTAAGCAACTGATCGATTTCTAGCTGATTCTACTATAATAGCTACCAAACCCAATTCGTAATTTGTAAAGCAATTATTTAGTTTTTTGTTTGTTGCTCTTAATTGATGTTGTAGTATAGATTAATTAAGAAACCTGTCAGAGTGCACCTCCAGTTAGTCGATAACCCGCGATAACACAGTTCATTGGCGTCACAGACATTTGTTTGGTTTATTTTCTTATTTTGAATTTGAATGCAACCGGCCAATGTTTTAAAAGTACCGAAATTACTTAATGAATAAATGTTCTATACAAACGTACTCTAATTTTTTTTTGATACCAAATGACGGGACGAACAAGTCTTGCGCCTGGTAGTAAGCGACACGCCTGTACATAACAGTTGCAGTACCACTTAGAGCTTTAAATCACAGATATCTGTGAGGCACTGTTACTGCGCCCGACATTTTGAGACGTAAGTTGACAAGTCCCATATGATTTCACCAGTACCTTTACCCTTCAAAACCGGAACACAGTAATGCTGACATTACTGCTTGGCGGCAGAAACAGGTAAGGTGGCAGTACTTCCCTGGACGAACTCTTCCACAAGGAACTCCATTGCCACTGAAATAAATCTAAACTTTATCTACGGAATTCCTTGCATAATGAGCATAGAGCAGCGTAATTAAATGTACTGGCTTTAACAGAATAAACTACACCAGAACCAAATCAGAAATGGTTTACATTTTAGCAAAAAAAAAGGATGTTACTGAGAAAAGCACGTGGGGCTCTGTACATACATACGTACAGTTTCAGCCACAGAGGTCGACGAAGTTCTAATGTGTTTGTGTCCCGAGGGTCCTATGATTTGCGATTCCATGTTCAAAATAGTGCTTCGGACCAATTATACTATTGAATTATACCATTAATAGTGTATTATATTTGTATCTGTAATGGTATAAGTGGCACTAGTTTATCTCAGTTATACCATTATTATTTATAATCCAATGGTATAAATGGGATACCATCGAGCTCAATGTGGGATAAACTAGTGCCACCTATACCATTACAGGTATAAATGGGACGGGTTACTACCAGAGGTTAGTACATTAAGGGTAATGATATAACTGGTCCGAAGCCAAAATAGTTATATCTCAATATCATCATCATCATCAACCCATTTATACGTCCCACTACTGGGCACGGGTGTCCTCTCAGGCTATGGTTTAAGCCATAATCCACCACGTGGGCCCAAATACGGGTTGGGGACTTAACATGTTTTCCAAAAGTTGTTAACCTATAGGTTTCATCGCGATGTTTTCATTTATCGAAAATTCATGGAAAATTAATTATGCTTATAAATTCTGATAAACTAAATAAAAACTGCCTCCGTTGCCAAACGGTTATCATGCTGTACTGCCACGTAGAGATCCTGGGTTCGGTTCCCAGGCGGGGAGGTGCATTTGAATGGCCTACATTTATTTCCCTCGTGTGTTTCGGTGTAATTTATTTTTGTCTATGTGTGTGTCCATTGCACCGGCGATACAGGGTTTCCCTAGTGCGGGGCTATGAGTGTGTGCGTTATTATTATTGTTATTAAACTCAAAGGTTCGACGTTGGATTCGAATTTGATATTATAAATAATAATAATAATTTGTATTACCTACTTAAATGTGTACATAGGTTTAGTTTAACCTTAAAAAACACGAAGTTATATGATTTCGCCAAAGACATTATATGGTTTGAATAATTTCCTAAGAAAAGTACTCCGTTTCTTCAACGAAATGTAGTCAGTTACATAAGTGGAAGTGAAGGTACTAAAAAGTCGTTGAAAAACCAAATACGAAGACAGGACTACAAGCACATAGATAAATTCGTGAGGTCCGCAGTTTCGTTCCGTGGCTTAGTTGGTATAGCGTCTGCCACGGTATGCTAGAAGACGTCGGTTCATATCCGGCCGGATCGAAGGAATTTTTTGTGAGTGTTCGATCTTTGTATTAATAATTATAACAAACTAGTGGAGTAATTTCACAAAAATAATTGAATTAAATAACAAATTAAAATACAGTGAATAGCGACATCTCTCACCAGGGCTGGTAGCTGTAAAGGTATCTAACTGGGTGATAAAACTTTCATAGATTTCTCATAGATGACGCTACGACTAAAAAGTCGTTGAATTAATAATTATAACAAACTAGTGGAGTAATTGCACAAAAATAATTGAATATCAATTCAATAAAAATTTAAAATACATAAGTCGATTGACCAAACGTCATTAACTTATTACTTACATACGTGTAATACCCTATAACAATATGTTTGGTCCACTTTATATAATATTGTTAATAAACATAAGTGCTGGTTAAATTGAGGACCCTCGAACTCCAGTAACATACTTTCGACGATAACTTATGTACTTATTATTTTATTACTACAATTTTACAATCCTGAAACGCTTGTTCAGTATAGAAACGTGTATGGGATCACGCAACAACGAGTACAACAACAATTGTGACACAAAATACCAACAATGCAGCGTAGATAGGGAAATGTGTATAGAAATTAATTTTTGAGTAATTTTTCATTTAAATTACGTAAATAAAAAAATCAATAACACGAAATTAAACACGTAGAAACTCGTCCTCAGAAAATGTTACATGATAAGAAAATTTTAAAATACAAATGGCGTTACAGCAAAAAAGTAATTAAAAACTAAAAACAAATATCTGCGACAAGCACATAGAAAAATTCGTAAGGTGTGCTGGTTCGTTCCGTAGTTCTGTTGAGAGAGTGTGTTGACCTGGTATGTTGACGATGCCGGTTCGAATCCAACCGAATCAAAGGATTTTTTCTTAGTGTATCGCTCTTTGTATTAATAATTATAACAAACTATAAAAATAATTGAATATCATGATAAAACATTGTGATTTTCAATAAACGTAATATTAAATTTGAAAGTTATTTTCCGACGGCTCTTAATGAGGTTCGTAACAAAGCGATTTCATAATGATTGCAAAACAAATATTATAACATTGTTCTATAAATATGTAGTTTATTATCAGTTTACGTCCTTTGGTGCAACTATATTGCGATTATCACGTAGGTATCAGATACTATAAAGTACTCAACTTCAAGAGTATGAATGTCTAATTACAATGTAAATGATTGGTAGAACATTATAGAGTTTACGTTTCAGCAGACATAAATAATCAATTAAATAATTCAATTATTGACGATTTAATATTGTAAAAAGTAGTCAAAGGTTTTTTAACATGCTTTGTTCATTGGGCTTACTGAACTTACTTACTTACTGAACACCCCGTACAGCAAAATAGCCCTTTAAGGAGTCGAGATTACCGCTAATAAGTGATAATAAATTTTTATTAGGTCATTTGTTAGGACCGCTTATCTTTTAAAACAACTTACAAAATATTTTACATAGTATGTATGACCTGATCGTAACAATAAGAAATGTTGTGAACGTTTGCTTCACCCTCGTATATTAGGATTTTAACGTATAAATAACGAATTCCCCTGCGACAACTATAGAGCCTCTTGTATTTTTGACGATTTACTCAACACGTTTTTTTTACTCTGTGTTGTAGTTGTTATTATAGTAGTCATTCTGAATCTTCTGACACGCCTAAAGAAAATAAGTTTTATCAGAGATTCAGACACGGTTAAGTATGATGACTGCGCAATATA